ACTTCAGGCTAGGAAACTGTACAAAATACAAGCTCAGCCATGAAAAGCTGCAGTAATGCATCCGTGAATGAAACCAGCAGCTTCTTTTTCATTTTTCTGCTCACCCTAATCAGTGCACACTGGCCTGTCACTCGTCACATCGCTGTGGGTTGATAAGCGTCCCTCACTCGTCATGTTGAAGAGACAATGTCTCATGTCATATCCTCTGTTTGCTGGTCGACCTGCATAGTGGCCTCAGTTAAGGATAATGCTCTCCCCGAGTCTGCTTCCTCTCTCCCCTCCTTGTAACTCTGACCTGCATCATCTCAGGAACCGGTCGGGGCATTTAGGTTTATGAGCAGCTGGCTTTGTGAGAACTTTGTTTTTCTTATTGCACCACTCTGTATGGTTGAGGACTGACACGAGTTGACTCATCTCGCCAGCCCATCCACAAGCACAAAGGAAGAGCCCGTCTTTCAACAGCTGCTTCAAACACACAGCCCCACCAATTTACCAAAGGGAATGTTTCTGAAAGCCTTTTAAAACAAGATTTTGGCCCGTGTTTATTTTACAAAGATATTCGCTAAGCCTGCATGTCCATTTGTTGCTTTGTTTTGATGGATCAGACGTAGTTCGCAGTGTTTCAGTGTCGGTGTATTCTTTATAAGAAGAATAGAATTTTGTAAATACTGGGTAACAATATACCAAACGATATTCTTTACAATGTGAACACCTCTCCACGTCCTATCAGTCCTCTACCAACTCAGTGAGTCACCTTGGAGTACAACAGAATAATAATGAGAAAGCTGATTTACAACAAATAAGCAGTGTCTCCTCCTACTAAGCTCATACTAAGCTTCCTGTCAGTTTGGCATGTCAGAGCTGTCAGGACAACCCAACACGCCCCGGGACTATGTCCGCATTACATTAAACACAATCGCTTGACCCCAGCAGGCCCCATCCCCTGTACCACATCTACTTGAGCTGCTACAACAAGGTCCAACCCCTCCTCCCCATGTTCCTACCATGTAGGCGAACAGGGGAGAACAATCCCATTACATTACAACAGGCCCAGAGCTGATCTAATGCAGACAACATTAAAACCGTGTCGCATCCAGTCACTTACTTGATGGATCCAGGAAAAGAGGGATGAAGAGGAGGAGAGGGAATGCTGAAGAGAAGGGGGCCGGGATCGGAGGCTGTGGGGTCAGACACGGTGACGATGTGACAGTGTGATTGCGGAAACGGAGAGTACGTGATGGTGCCCCGGTGCCCTTGAGCAAACTGTCATTCAAACCACTTTAATTAATTTCCCCGTCTTGTCCTCTTCCCCACCTCCCTGCTATCGCAGACGAGCACGCTACATACAGGAGGCAGCAGTATAATACAGTGTGAACGTCAACAACTTTGGACTTGACAAAAAGAGGATTTTGAAATGGAAATTTGTAGCCTTGTGTCACTAATAGTTAAGATCTGCCAACTCTGAACTCCGACTTGTCAGAACAGAATGAAACAGGCATTTTGGAAACCCACCATTTTGCAAAATGGAGCTTTGTATTGTTAGGGTGTATAATTAAGACCTCATTGTGACAGCCATTGAGAGAGAGTTAATGAGGGTTCTGATGTATTCCATATGAATATGAATATTGAATTTTTAATATTTTATGGCTTTCTAATTGCCTTGGTTGCTGTTAATGGCTTTGACTGTTGAATATTACCCTGACTGAATATGTGGCATTGGAAAGTACCTTTAGAGCAGAGAGCTGATAAAATAGCTGCATTCTCAAGTTGAATTCTTTTCCTTTATGATTTCCGTGTATGTATCTTTGGGGCAGATACATATCTTGACTGAAGGCATGTCTGTGACTGTGAATACATTTGAACCAGTCTTTTACTCCCTTACCAAGATGAATGTATATATAATTACAAAGTATATCACGCACACTACCTTGATATAGAGTTTAATGGCCGTATCGTTTCTTTGTGGAGCATGTCTGCTGGCCTTAATCTTCTCCACAGCTGACATCTTAATAACTCAGCCCTCTCCATCCATTTCCACGGGAGACATCCGGATGTGGGGGAAGGATTAGTTTAATGAATTTGACAATTAGTAACAGAAGTTAATGACTGCATGGGGCTAAGTACCCTGATGGACATGACTGGGGGGGACTAAGGACTTCCATTGCTCTGGGCCATAGATCCTCATTAATAGCTTTTCTGCCTGCCGGAGAGGACAGGGGAAGCCAGGCCAGGCCTTTGTTTAGTCTGCCTCTGACGGAGCTGCTAGGGGGTTGCACTGTTGCACAACGCCACGCCAGAATTAGTCCCGCTCTGGGCATAAGTTAATGCAGGGCCTCGGGTCCTGGATCAGGTGAGGCTTCCTTTAATGAACTGGGGTCATTAAATGTTGAAAAAAGAAAAGTGACACAGAATCGGGACAGGGAGGGAACTCTTTCTTCAGATCTGGTGCCAACAGTCATGAAGAAAGAAAAGTGGTTTGTGGGTCATAGGCCTCCTGATGACCTCTGCCTTGATTTATCTTTATGTTACCCAGATCCCACCTCTAATGCAGTCAAAACATCGTTTAGTCGGATAGCTCTCATAAAGATTTTATTATTATTTATTATTATACTGTGCTTCATGAGCTACCTAGTCGCTTTGTCAAATATTTCCACTATAAACCATTTTGATAAATTTTTCAGCTACTATAAAATCAAAGTTTGTATTTTTTATGGCATCATGAATACACATAGAACAATTCCCATAATATCCATCAATTCAGATTTATACGTACGTATCCCCCTTCTTCACAATAATTTATCCTACCTTCTCCCACAGAGGATGAGAAAGTATGGCTAGAATTTGTAAAATCACATCCAGAGCGGCATTAGCTGCCCCCTCATTCCTGCCTGTCTCCTGGTGATAGCCATAATAGCGACAAAAACAGAACCACATCCAAAAATAATCATTTCCCAAAGCTGTTGCCAAATGCTGTAGTAGCTGGAGACTCCATTGAAAAACAAGGGGATGTGTGAGAAATTTGTCTTGTGTTATGGTTAGTGGTGAGTGTGCTCGGGTATGAGGCTGCGTGATGTGATGTAATAAGAGCCAGTAGAAGGAAAGCCACTTAATTAGTCTAGGCAGAGTCGAACCTGAGAGGTCCAAGTACCTACAACAGTCTGCCTCCTGAGAAAAAGGAGATAGAGGGAGACAGAGAGACAGAAATGCAAGACGAATCTGTTGCTTGTTTTTTTTTGCTCTGATGCTCTGATATTCTGTCAGGTCCTGCCAAGTTTAAAGGCAACGGACCAAATTGGTGCTGATGTAGCGCACTCCTTGAACACTCTCATTTGTATATCTTTCTCTCTGTCTCTCCTTATCCCGCTCTTTACCTCCTAATTTGCCTCTTTAGGGAGTGACAGTTGCATTTAGGAAAAAGGTTATCATTGTATTAGAATAGAGTGCTGGCCTTAAGGCTTACCTAGAATTACATGACACTGCCTGCAGCCCCCTTCGTTCTGTGCTGGGCTGAAATGTTATCAGTCTGACTTAATTACTGTCACCGGGCAGTGGAATTGACTATAATGTACATTCCAGTGTCGGACACATTGGAGAGATATTAAAACTCGAGTGCCGAATCCCTCCTTAAGATCTCTTGGTGTTTAACTTTAGGTCAGAGAGTTAAATTGTAGCTGTGTGTTTGTCTGTGTGTGTTTAGCTTCAGCTTTTATACCTCCCGTCCTCTGCTGCCCCGCGAACACCACACACACACACACACACACACACACACACACACACACACACACACACACACAGAGACATACACACACACACAGAGACATACACGGACACGCACATCCTTTATCTGATTAGCTGGCACGCCTATGTGGAGCGGTGTGTGTTTGCGTGTGTGAGACACAGTGCATTTCAGCTCAGCATCAGGCCCCAGGCAGGGCATGGATTTCATTTAGGAAAGTATCAAAGGTTTACACGCTGTTCGCTTTAATCAGCATGTTTATCAGGCAGAGAAAAATTGCAGGAAGGGACCACAGGGAAAAGGAGGGGTGGGGGGTTATCTTAAGGACCAGTAGCCAGGGAAATTGATAATGGCTACAAGGTAATTTACTGGAGACTTGTGCATCCCTCCACTGCTTCTACCCTTGCCTCTCATTCTAATTACAGCCCATGTAATGTTCTAATGAATCTGCAGGTGTGTGTGAGTGAAGGGGTGGGGGGTTGTGCATTTATGTCTGTGTATGTATGTGTGTCAGCGTGTAGCTCTTGCGCGCACGTGCGTGTTTGTTTGTGTGTGTCACTCCAGATCAAGCCTGTTTTCGTGTAAGAAGATTGAATGCATCTCAAGGCTGTGTCAGTATCTCTCGAGTGCATAGTTGTCTCACTGTTTCTGAAATATGAATATGATATGAAAAGCAATTAGATTAGCCCTCAGCAATATTAAAGATACATGCCACTCACAGACACAAAGTTCCGCTGATACTTCAAGTTGTCACTGTGGTTCCATCTTCTGGCTGTGTGTGCAGAGGATGGAAGCAGCGGCCAGACGCCCTCGTCTCCTGCTTACACCAGACCGCCGATAAGGTCCAGCGACTGCCTTTGGCGCTGCTGGTGCCTCCGCTCACACACTAACATCACAACATGTACGCATAAACACACACGTTCGCTCACAAGGCCATGTGCGCAAATCTCCAGGGGATATGGGCTGGACCATAAAGGCCTTGATACCACCAGAGTGTAAACATCCCCACAGGATTGTGGTCCAGTGAATGAGCTGTCCGGAATCTGCTTTCTTTGTCTTCTTCACTCTGTGTGTGAGTGTGTTTACATGTGTTTGCATGGGTCTGTTCAGATAACACTTTGGGACACTATTGTAGGCTGAGAAAGGAGTATTTGGCCCCGGGAGACAGTGACATCACTGGTAAAATGCACGTTGCACGTATTGTATAATGGAAAAGTCAAGAAATCTTTGTAGTTAAGTTTCCTCCATCTTTCCCTCCCCACAGGAAAAGGAGGGTGTCGAAGCAGTGTCTGTAGGGGCCATTCTCTCCGATTACCAGAGGGTCCGTGTGGAAAATGTGTAAGTCAGACACACAAACACTCGGGATCTAGAACACGCTCTCTATCTAAAGTGGACATACACCCACTGCGCTCAGGCCTCTGAACTCAAATGACGCACGCTCTGTGGTCTACTGAAGGAAAAGAGTACATCCTCTGTAGTCTTTACCTCACTGCGTTTTCCAAACTTGGACTGAGATATGTTTACACACATATACACACACTGTGTGTTGTTTATGCGATTTTATTTAGACTAGCTTTGATTTTATGGTGTGGTTCTGTTCTGTTTTTGAAGAGCCATTGCTTTTCAAGAAAAGAAATGAAGCCAGTAGTTTCGTAATTGTCACGTGATTTTGTTAATATAAAAATGTACTTTCCCATTAGGGGTGAAACACGACTGTGATTCACATGAAGAATGGAGAGGTTGTTTGTGACACAGATAGCTCTACGTCTTTCTTGTTCTTGTTTTTGTCTTTTGCTCGTCGTCTTTTTGTTTTGTCTTCTTCCAAACCTTCAGAGACTGGACACATTGCAGGACAAAATCTCTGTTCTTATTAACAAATCCTGCTGTCAGTCAACTATTGTTTCTCTGTATACACACTAGAGACACACATATACACATAAACATCCCAGGCATTTTTTGAGCCATAGACATTGCAGTGCAGACAGTTTGGCTCCAGTTACCTGCTGTGGATGTGTGTTTCACATAAGTTTATGTGAGAGACAAGCCAGAGCTTAAGATGGAGTTTTTTGTGTTTGTCTTCTCCTTGAATAAAGCCGCTGGCTCTCATGGCAGGTGGGAGCATGCACTATGGGCCTATCAGGGTGGTAACCTTCCTGCAAATGTAGAAGGTGCCCAGCCAAGTTGGCTTTGAAGTTGTTGTGAAGTTGGCAAATATTCAATAATAACTGCCTTGCACCCCTTTCACCTGTTTCCCAGATGTTTGCGGCTTGGTTTGCAGCCCTTGGCCTACCTGTGGCGCCGAGACCAAGAGTCTCTGCTCTCGGAGATGATATCATCTGACCTCCGTGCTATCCTCATCAAAGTGGCCGCCTTCGGTGAGTTTGTGTCTCACTCTTTTGTGTCACACCCAGCTGGTGAGTCTCATGTCCCTTCACTTCTGGTCACCCTTTTTCAGTCTCTTTTCACTTTCTCTCAAGGTGCCATGTTGGGTAAGTAGTGTTATGTATGTTATGTATGGAGATCAATGGGACAGAATTTGGATATGTGAGGGATATGAGGCGGGGGACGGGGGGGGGACGGGAGGTGTAACCAGAGAGAAACAGAGAGACAAGCAGAGTAATGCCCTAATCATTAATCTGTGGCTTAGCAGTGATGTTGAGGCTTGTGCCAGCGGCAAAGGTATTGAAGCAGAGAACAATATGAAAAGATAAGAAGCACAGAGGGAGGAGGTGTGAGGGAGGTGCACAGTGGTATTCGGAGGGTGGGTGGAGGGAGGGGCTGGCAGTTGAGAAATAATCACAGGTGATTGCCCTGCACATTAATGCAACCTGTCAATAAGCGGCGCATGTCCCCATTGTGTGTGAGAAACAGTGCTTTCTCTGCTTTTGCACAGCTCAAAATACACGGTCCATGAAGCGAAGATTAAAATCTGGTGTCTCTCATTTACGTTTTTCAACTACTTCAGCGCTGAAGAAAGAGGTTAATGTGGTGTCACCTGCTCTCTACCTGCCTGTTTTGGAGCCCGAGGACAAGAAGCTCAGATTACTGAATAACAGGAGAGACAAAAAAAAAAAGTTTTCTTTTTCTTTTCTTGGGTACATGATGTTAAGATCCCTACCTGTATCTACTTGACAGTGTAGCCGGATCCCCTTTGACAGTGATGCCAGTGATAAATGATAATTATGGCTACAAATGGTTCTTTTTACTCTCAAACTACTCATGGCGATAGATCATCATGTAGACACTGTTTACGTGCTGTTAAGTGCTTGTTGTCACCTTTGGTAGCAATCAGTCGAAAAGGGGTCCACGGCTGACTGATGACCCGCAGAGCAGAGCAGCGCGTTCAGGATATTCTGCATATCTTTCAACGCTGCTCAAATAACCTCTTATGGAATGCACTTGTCAAGCCATTTATCTTTGGTACTTTATTTGCCGGAGCAATTTCTCTTTTTTAATGGCTCTGATAAAGGACGTTTTAGTAATAAATAATAGAACTTGTCAGATGTCCATCAGAGGACAGATGACGTCAGAATCCTTGCTTTTAAGATCTTTTGTTCTGGGGAATTTAATCATTGTTTACTGCTAAAAAAAAATATCGTTTTATACTTGCAGCCAAATGCAACCTAATCCTGCTTTTAATATTAATTGAGCAGTCATACTACCAAATTACCATTCTGAAATAATATGCTTTTAAAGAAAACACCCCACCTTAGAGACCTCAGTCACCCTCTAACCCTGCTACCTCCTCCAAGCTTTCTACCTTAAACACAACTTTGTCTAAAAGCAAATTCTCAACATTTTTTGGAAGATTATAATTAGAAAGGAAAATCACCCCAGGTGCCTTTGAGTGTGTATCTTGGCCTCCCGCTGTAGGTGTTTGTGGGAGCATGTGTGCATGTGTGTTTTGGCTACAGGTAAAAAGAAAAGATCTTATCAGCCCTGACTTCTCACCTGTCCCAAGGCAGTGGTAATTAGAAAGGAGAAAATTGAATAAGGGTGCAAGTGCCCAAGGCATGTTAGGCAGCGCTCATATAATTGCAGCTTTGGAGGGAGCAGGTCTGAGCAGTGAGGTGTGCTGTTTAGGGGAGATTGGGTGACAGAAGGGCGTACCTGGTGGCCTTTGGTGTTTGTGTGTGCGAGAGAGAGGGAGAGCAAGAGAAAGAGATTTGAGGGGATTTACTTGTGCAGACCTGATGCAGAGGAGGAAAAAAAGCACTTTCACAGGGCAAAGGTTAAGTCAGCATCTGAACTGACAGCCACAGGAGCTTATGATATTTTGTGGTTGTATAAAATGACTTTTGTTGAGCTGTTAATAATGAGAGGAATTCAAGATTAAGTTTCCTTCATCAGACAGGTAGAAATTAGTGGTGAATAGATGAATCAGAAAAAAAAAATCTTTCTTTCTTACCTTGGTCACAAATCACTGCAGTGAAGAGACATCTGTTTAAATGCAGGATGATCCTCTAAGTGAATACTGAAGAAGTATTCATTTGTGTGCTGATGGCAGCCTAAAACCACAAAAGAGAGAAAAGAAGATTTTAGTCTTTGAAGATTTCCAGATTGCATGTAGTGAAGTAAGTTCAACTACCTGAGTCTCAGCTCTATGAATGTCAGAAAATGCTCCTAATTAGCCAAAAAGGCACTCCTCTCTACGGGAAATGCATATTTTGTTGGCAAAACTGTCTCTTTGTAATGCAGTATCTCTTGAGCTAAACCGTGGTAATTGGCAATTCCAAAAGCTAGTATTAAATATGCATGTAATTAGTTAATTGATTGATTAGTGCAGGTGTGCATCAGGGCACAGGTTCAGCAGTTAATTGGTCCTCAGCTCCAGAGATAATTGGCATGTGTGAAATCAAGGTCTATCTGCCGAGAAACCTTTTATCTCTGCATGATCTTTTACACTTCACACGAACGTGGCCCTGGTGCTATGAGGAAGGGAATTTATGTCACATATTTGCTTCCACTGATCACCTCAGCACTTGGGGACATTTATTATAATTTAATATATCCTTGAAGGATAATTATTGGTCAAAGACATTAGAGAAAATTTAATAAACCTCTTCAGTATGCAAGGCTGGGCATTTAATATATATATATGTATGTTAAGGAATGTTAGAGCCCAAGCAGAAGATGTTAATCCCTGATACAATACAAGACACACTTTGTTCCTGGAGTTCAGTGTGCTGTGTCTAACCTGGACCAGTTACACTTTTGTTTCAGTCAATCAGCTCATGTTATGTGTTGTAGGCATTTTCTGTACCACAGTAAAGCACCCAGACACTACGATTAAGATGGTTTTAAGGATCTTTCAGTAAATGATGAGTACTTCAGAGTATTGGCTTGTGGTCATGTGTTTTACCTTACAGTCAGGTTTTTGGCTCAGTAATGTCAGGACTTCCGTTAGGTAATACTTGCTTTACATACATATCCTCAGGTCATATCATCAAATTGTTCTTTTTTCCTGTTAACCCAAACAAAAATTAGTTTCCTATCATAAAGTAGAAAGGGATGCAGCCAGCCTTCCCAACGGAGAAGCTAGAATGACCTAAACCTGCACAACACAAAGGTGCTGATGGGTGCTAATGACATATGCCTCACCACCAACTGCTTTCTTTTTTTTGCACTGTGATCCTTCCTTCGAATGACAAGGGTTTTCTTACTTTCTTTCTTTCTTGTTTTTTGGAGCACCAGAAAGTTTTTGTGAGCCCTTGCCAGATTTTTCCACCATACTCTCCATCATTCTCCTGGTGTTCTGCAGCCTACTCCGTCTCCATTACACTCCACTCTTCAGCACTGACAAACAAATCATTGCCGGTTGACATAAAATGCGCCAGTGCGGGAACGTCACCACAGAAACCAGATTTAAAACTTGAGTATACTGTGAAATACAGAGATTTAGATGGCGCTGATAGGCTTAATCAGCCTTGTGTTAACTCATATGACAAGGGCTTGGATGTAATGGATGTTTATTTATAGTAGGAGTCCTGCACCCTTGCTGTCAAAAAATGGATCATTAGTCATTTTTTTGTCAAATAATAGACTAATTGTTTCAGCTCTAACATCAATAAATCATTCATTTACTTCAGAGTAGCATTTCTTCTTCCTGATTTTGCCTTTATGTGTTGCTTCTTTTTAAAAATTTTACTTATTGACTCAGTTTTGGGGTGTTTTACTGCCTTCATTGTATGGCATGTGGTAGACAGATGACAAAAAAACAGGGTCATCGAGAAAGATGCTGATCGTGTTGTGCAACAACTCCTTATTGTTTATGCATGCACAACATAAATATATAGATAAACGAGTAACTCATGAAGGTGCATACCTATACAGTCATTTTATATGCCTGCTGTGTTAGTTACTGCCTGTAACCTTTCCTTGCTAGTTCAGTCAAGCTGAAGCTTTTTTGAACAGTTTGATCTGTGTGGTGGTTAATTTGCACCTAAAGCACTCTTAAATCGTTAAAGAATGATGGACACAAATTACTTTTCTAAATCACTTGCCACACATTGGACCTTAGTTTTAATTTCCCCTAACACTAAAAAATTGGTTAATTTATTTCCATAGGTTACTTTGGTTAGCTTGGAAGTAGCCCCAGTTTCTTCTCTTTGATTTGTTGGAGTGAAAAGATTTCATCTTGTTGTGATTGCCACACAATTCATGCTGCCCATTATTCTGCTCACACACCCTGAATTTCAGATAAGAGCCTGACAAATTTCACATATAACCTTAATCTTATCATCGTTTGTATCGTGCCACTTCCCTCCCCTTCTTTCTTCTTTTCCATTCTGTATTCCTCTGTCTGTCTCGCAAAGATTAGGTGATAGTGAACAGCTATTGTTTTGGCGCGGGTCTTTGAGAGCATTGTTTAAAGGCTGATGCAGCTCACCTACTAGGGAGGAGATGCTTATTTCATCCATTTAAAGGCTAAAATGTTACACATCATGAATCCAATTTTCTCTGCCTTTTCTCTCTGAAGGCAGGGATTAAAGCCGAGCTGTCAGCTGGCACGCCAGATCTTAAGACAACCTGCGGATGTCTGCGATACTGCGCTCAGCTCAGCTCAGACAGTATCTAGAATCTCCCTGCTTTTAATTTGGCATTAGGCTCAGTAAGCAAAATCACAGGCAGTTTCAATTAAATAGGGACCTCACTGCTGTGGGTTTACATGAATCAACTTCTTCGAGGTGGGAAAGGCCAGTTGTGATCGTTAAGTCGTGATTGATTTGATTTCACAGCCATTTTCTATATGGTTAACTTCTGTTGTGTGTTATAATGTGGTGCGTAGAATTACTTTTTTTTCAATAGAAGTTTTTACCATTTTTCCAACCTCATTAGAAAAACTAACTTTATTGTCTAAATGGCTCTCGGTTTCCTGGTAAACCTTTTCTTCCTCCTTAATTTCAACCTCCTAAATGTCGACAGTGTTTTTAAAAAATGCTCTCCCTCATTACTGGACTCCCTGGTTTTAAAGTTCACTGAATTTAATTGGAGTTTTATAGGATAATACGAGGTAAAAAGCCCTTTTAAAGGAGAGCCATTCCTCTCAGTCTCTCTTAGGGAAGCTCCTCTCTCTCCAAAGTGCGGTCTTGCTGTCTCTGGCGGCAGACTAATGGCAGCTTCTAGTGGGCTTATTTGGGTTTAATGTGGCATAATGAGGTTAGGTAATTGGGTTTAGGTCAAGTTGTAAAACAGGTTCAGAGAAGACAGAGATGTGAAGATCATGTAAATGAGTGGTGTTAGATCGCTGAAGGCTCGCACCGGTGGCTCCTCAAAAGATTTCGCAAAGCATGTATTGTACAAGCGCGAGCTCATTCCACACCATCCTCATCGCCAAACAGTTTGAGTAACCTTATGTCAGTCAGGACCATCAATTAAGAAAACACTCATACAAGTGCTAAGTGGTCTTGGGAGAAATGCCTCCACATTAATGCCATCTTTGTAACATTTTATCACTCACTCCTGTCCTCCTCGGTCGTCCTCTTCCCTCCTTGTAAATATCAAATCATGTATCATATATTATTTAAGAGCAGGGAAGTTAATGAACATATTAAAAAACGCGGCATCCCCTCAGCAATTTGGAGCCAATTATTAAAATTTGTTAAAAGGCATGACTAATTAAAGAGGATATTTAAATTGGATTGAATTTTAATGCTTTTTTTTTTTTTCCTCCCTCCTTATTACCTTTGTGGCAGGGTTAAGATGAGAGGATGTTGAGATTAGATATTCTCACACTAATTAAGACCACAGATCCCCTGGGAAGAGAATAAGGGCCCGCTCATTCTCTCTGCCTCCACACTCCGTCTACCCTCCTTCCCCGCCTCCCTCCCGCTGCCGTGGCCCTCCGTCTCTCTCCCCCCGTAGTGCTGGACCACCGGGGCCCGGAGGAGAGACACAGCTGGGATTAAGATGAACCCGGGATGGGATGCGACGTCCTTCCTTCACATCTCCTCTCCCTTCTCACTCGTCTCCCATCCATTGCTCCCCATGGGGCCCCCACGGATGACACATTAACCTTTGAGGTTGTCAGGCCATGAGAGAAGAGACATTCTCACATTACGATTAACTTTGTTCCTTTAATTAAACACATGAACGTGCCGATGAACAGGACCACGTGATGTCTAGGAATAATGGAGCTATATTGGATTTTCGGAGAAATTACTAGGACAATTCAGCAACTTTTTTTCTTACATTGCGTTGGCGTCGCTGTCACAACTGCACATCACTCCGTATAGGTCATCAGTTACATGTTAATGATTATGTCAATCAATTAATAGGCAGCCACAGAAAGAGCAAATGGAAAATGTTGAAGAATAAGATTAGTCTCCACCAGTAACCATCAAGAAGTGGTCCCAGTGATTTGGCCCTCATATTTTCAGATAGCAATCTGGTGTTTTACTAAATATGGTTGCAAGAGCATGGAGCTACATACTTTGGAATTTCCTAAAGTTTAGCATTTTACATCCATGTCCTGTTATGTTTTTATTGTTCCATTCTTTGTAGAAAGCACCTGGTGCTCGAGCCTTTGTTTTTCGTCGGAACAGTGAAGAATGTGCAGTAGGAAAGTGTAGGCTGCGCTCTCTTCTCGAAAGGAGTGACAGGGTGAGACGGAGTTCACTACGGTGCGTTCAGGAACAGGCGTGCAGAAGACAAAATCAGGACTTAGTGTCACAAAGGAGTAAAATCCTCCAGTGCTCGACAACCCATGTTCACCAGTTTCTCCCATTTATTCCTGCTAATGTGTACACAATCCCAAAACTAGACTGATCAGTGTGCTAATTTTCCGTCGAGGTTGTGGCCTAGATTTGGTTATCTTATTGAAAGGGAAGGTGGATGTGGTGAAAAGCAGTTTTATTTCCTTCTAGACGCCTTCTTGGTTGGTTGCCCTTACTTCTTGTTGTTGTTTTCCCATCTGGGGACCACTGGGGAGCCAGGGCCGCTGAGCCTGTATTTTAGGAGTGTGGCACCACTGGGCATGCATACAAAACTCTCTACCACCCTTCTCTTCCCCTTCTTCTTTTTCTCTCCCATGCCTGTGAGTCACTTCCATGCAACCATTTCAGGGGGAAGGGGAGGGAAAAGGCAAATAAACAAGATCTCTTTCCAGAGTTTATGTTCTCAAAGGGAACTCGAAGGTGGTGGTGGTGGGGAGTGCGACGGGCAAAGGGGTGCAGGGGGTCTGTGGCCAGCAATTGAAAACTGTTGCCCTTACCCGGAGAGATCTGTGTACACTACTTGCAAAGTCAAACAAATAGATCCAGGGTGCAGGTTTACGTGTGTGTTTGTGCGACTGCCCGTAAACCTCCCTGCCTGTCATCTTCAATCACTGCTCGCCGTTCCTGATCAGACCTCTCTCTCTTTTCTCTCTCTCTCTCTATCCGTGCGTTTGTCTGTGGTGTTTGTGTGTGTTTTTCTGTCTTTGTGTGTTGCTTTGTGTATATTCGTGTGTGTTTTCCACCACGCGGGTGCCAGGCCTGGATCCAGAGAAGCACTTAGGAAAACCTCTGGCTGACATGGAGCCCTATTTGAAACAGGTCATACATAAACTAGTAGATACTCTGTCACACTGTTAAACTCTTGACTTCAGTGCTCGCATGAATTTCAATGTGTGCCTGATGCCGATGTTGAAAGTTGATGACGGTTATAAAACAATTTATTTTAAATTCAGAATTTAATACTAAAGTGGCATATATCGGCTTCACCTTTTGCAAATCCTGTGATTTAATATAAGAAAAAAAAAATCAGTAATACTAATCAGAATCTTGTACATTATGTGTAGAAATTGGTTTGGGTATTTCTGGCAAAAGGTAAAAAGGTTCAACCCTTTCCATACAGTGATCTTTGGTAGTGACTATATTCAACATATAAAAATGGGTTTTTATCACACATTTTTGATCTTATAGTTGTGGCAATATTAGTTCTATAAATTTTAATTCGTTCGTATAGTTTTTAAACTGCACATTGTATGCAAGATTGGGGTAAAAATTAGTAAACTAAATGAAAAGTGAAAGAAAGAAAACAATGTGTATTTAATTAAGTGTTTAAATAAGATCTTTTGTTCTCACTGAGTAGCTCTCCCAGAAATATGGAGTCCACATTTGCGGAGAAGGAGGTGAATATGAAACCTTCACCCTTGACTGTCCTCTCTTCAAGAAGAAGATAGTTATGTGAGTAAAGCATTACAAACTATTTGCTTTAGAACACAGTTGTGCTTTTTTTCATGTGTGACTGCACTGTGTTGGGAAAGTGATGTATTGTTGTCCGAGAGCATATAGAAAAGTTTCTTGTTTGTTTGTGCAGTGATGCAGCAGAGACAGTGATCCACTCAGCAGATGCCTTTGCTCCAGTTGGCTACCTGCGCTTCACCGAAATGCACACAGAGAACAAAGACAGCGTGAGTCAAACTTCCATGCGCATTACTTCTTCCTCAAATAAGTTCAGCGCTGTTCAATGCTGAATCGATAATTTTACAAGCAAAAGTTTGAGTCGCTTTGGGGTTGATGATTACTTTAAAACTACTCAGGGCAAAACAAATACAAGAACAAAACCCTTTGGTGTCTGATAACTTTGTCGAGGAGGAGAGGAACACGGCACTGCAGGGCAGAGTTCAAATCAACCTCCAGAGGGCCTCTCTCTCTCTCTCTCTCTCTCTCTCTCTCTCTCTCTCTCTCTCTCTCTCTCTCTTACACTCTCTTGCTCTTGGTCTTTCCCTTCATCCCTCGCTCTCTCTCCTCTAGCCCCACATGGCCTACTTTGACGTCTGCAATATTCACTGCAGCCTGAAACTAGACCCAGCTTAATAAACATGTCCGCTCACATTAAGGCGCTTTGCATTCAGGTAGCTGGCTAAGCGGACACAAGCAAGGGTTGCAGGGAGGGAGTAGGAATCGGCTTTTGGTAAATTAGCAGCTGAATGGGGCTTCACAGATGGAAAGAGTGGCAAACATTTTACTTTCCCTGCAAGAACAGACGACTTTAAAATCCTTTGATTATTGTCAGAAAGCTGCGATGGAACCTTGGTACATATTAATGTTTACTTTTAATTACTCTGATCATGGCTAGCGCTGACAGCAAGCGTCCGTTCTATACTGTTGTCTTGAGGGTCACACTGAGGGATCAACATGTCTCCGGGGTAAAAGCGTGTGATTTGCACGCGTGTTTCTTTGCACATCACGCAATAATTTGCACGAGAGCAAGTGCAAGAAAGCGTGTGTTCATATTTGTAGCCTTCTGCATGTATATCCTCATGTTGGTTGGGGGATGGGACTGTTATGGACAGAAAACATACCCCCATCCCACAACCTCCGTGACCCTGCAGCCTCACTCCCTTCGGCTATATATTTTTTTTCACTCCCCACACTCCCACCCCCATCACACAAACGCACGCTCTCACAGCCCCTCTAGCCCCCCCTAGGTTGCCGGAGGAAGAGCAGGGAGAACCAGGGCCTGCGAGAGGAGGGGCAGGGGGGCAACCAGGGGAGAACCTGCCCTGGTTCAGCCTTCTGAAGCTCTTCTCGTCAGGGTGACAGATCTGCGGTGACACCAGCACTAGAGGAAACCGCACTGAGCTCAGGGGGTGGGGATGGACCACCATCATTTGCCCTCCGTTAATGCTAGTCAAGCTATTTTTCATGCTGGCCAGGAGAGAGGGGATGAAGTATAATTAATTTGATTATCATATGGCCTAATGCAGTTGACAGCAGATGAGGGGGGTGAATGAGTGTTAGGCAGGGTGAGGAGGGGCGACGTTGAGGAAATATGAAATATGCATTTAAATGTGTGACGCCCCAGCAGGATTTGGCAGGTAATATGTATGCCTGAGAGAATGGTAATGATTTGTTATTTAAAGAAGTAGCAGAGTGTGGAGGCAAAGTATAAGTAAACAGATGAAAAAAAGTGGTGAAATCCAAAACATGTCTCACCCATCCAGTCATGAGTTTTGACTGACAGCCAGCATGATTGAATCTACAGTATCAGAAAACATCACTCCCTATTCGCCTGAACCACGAATATGTTAGCATGTTGTTTCATATTCATTCACCTTGAAGTTATGTGTGTCTGGGTCCTTGTCATGAAAGACTGACACTCATAGCCCACTTGGTGGGGTATTTGAAAAAGGTTGGCTAATTATACGGCGTTTTGTCTGTCTTTGCAAAAGGCTCTGTGCTCTTTGGTGGGCATTTGGCCTGATGTATTCCCTGTGGTGCTTTATTGCAGGATGTGGTGGCGAGAGCTTTGCCCCATGGTAGTTGTCCTTGCCAGAACGCCATTGACAAGATGACTGAGGAGGTGGAATATGCTGATCAAGCTGAAGACAACCAGCACAAATTTACATCAAATTGTGACCTTAGTTGTCAGCAGGGCCACGGTGAGATTCATTTATTGTGAGACACGCACATACTGACATGCATGCATGAGTGTGTATTTATGTCTGCGCGTGTCAGATGATATCTTTGTGTGGTTTGTGCTCCTTGAATCTGTGTCATGCGGCCAGCATTATGATGCTAGTATTTTTGAATGATTGTTTGACAAGAGCTGTCATTTTAGCTGTGTATTTGTGACAGTCTCTGAATTCATTTCTCCTCCGACATAAACTGCCTATGCATGAATTACTCCTTAAATAGCGTATGCTACGGTGATGATGAAATAAGGCAAAAATGAGGAAAAAAAACACAAGATGCATACTGATTTTGTTTGTTCTAAAAGTTTTGATCAAGCCTCATAAACAAAGGATGACAAACTATTTCTGGTGCTGGCTGCAAGTGCTTGTGGAAATCCAAACTTGCTAACCCTTATTGTATATCTTCCTGCAGACTTTCCTCCATCCTGCTCATCAAGAAGCTCTAGAGGCTATCAGTGGATCTCTGGCATCAGTGGCCTTAAGAGCAAAGACCCTGGGATCCAGGGCCAGACATCGGAGGCTTTCATCCAGCTGCAAAGTAAGAGCAAGTGTGAAGAAGAGCGATCTTGGAGCAGGAGAGTGAAGAACATAGTGTACCAGCATTGTGGACAAACTTTTAAGTAGCACCACTCTCAGGAAAAACACAAGGGTCAACTAGAAAATCATTGTCTGCCTCTCTAAAATCACAAAAGCAAATGGCACACAAGCACACACGAGTGAACTAACCTTTAATAAGCATGTTTTCTTCTATCAAAAAACAAAAAAACCCTACATCTTTGATATGATCAAGGGAAGATGATACATAATTCTTTTATCCAGGGGTGATTTAAGAAGCTCAGTAAAACAAATTCTTAAGGGTCTTACTGTGCTACACTCCTTACTGTAGCCCTTTAAAGAACAATAAAGAGAAACACTTGGGGAAACCTTCTTTGTCCCTTGGGTGTCTTTCTTTCTCCTTGCTGTACTAGCTAAACACACACACACACCAAGAGAAGCAGTAGAGCCTGAGAAGTCGTTCTCTTACTCAGAAGTGCTCGGGCAGCTCAGCAGGCAAACCCGCGTGTCAAAGACTTCGTCCGTCACAAAACACGGCACAGCGAGCTGGCTTCCAAACAAGGACAAAAAAACTTCAAATTAAACCAAACCAAGCCTTTTTAAACATGCACACACACACACACACACACATACACACACACACACACACACACACACACCAAGTACAGGCATGTTGGGTGGGTTATCGTTTTTGCCCTGCAGAAGTTTAAAAGTGCACGCTTTTACAGTCTATCTCTGTCTTTTTTTTTTCTCTCTCTCTTTTTTGATGGAGATAGAGGAGCAAAAGATGAAAAGCATATTTAATGTTTATCGTGGTGCTTGGCTGAACAGCCTTCACAGTGCAGAGACAATATTAAACAAGTTAATATTTAATGAAGAACCTCTTTGTATGAGGGCGAAGTAGTCTGAGACGCTAGTGTTGGCAAAGGAAAAACAAACTTGAAGCTCTTTCAAATGATTGTAGGGAGAAAGGCTTTGCTTTGAGCCCTTGTGCCTGTGTTTGCATCTAAAGCCTACAACATACTGTCTTAGACTGAACTTTACAGAAGGGGACCACCATTACCACTTTAAAGGAATAGATTTCAATGTCAGACCAAAGTTCTAAAATATCCACCTTTTAAATACTATGGTGATAGCATTCAAATAACACTTTGAACAGTTAAGTGGCTATCATGAAGGTGTAGCACAGCTCTAAGCCTGACAGCATTAGATAAACTCAAATAAAATCGTCCCAAACCGCAACTGAATGCAGCCCTAAAAGCAAAAGCCTGAACTTTGACTTTGTTCAGTGGAAATATTGAGTTGCACTGGAAATTGCTGCATCTTGCAATTTCATTAAAGTACAAACAGCTAGAAAATGTTCTTTTTTTTTGGAACTAAATCAAGCTGTTAGTCTCAAAGACCGAGTGGCATGAATTTACTGACCGTTTAAAAGCAAAGTTATAATGGGTCCAAAGGTGGCACTTCTTTTTGCTCACAAACTCGCCAGTTTTGCCCTAATAGAAATGCCAAATTTCTGCCAGTTTTGTTATATGTAGCACACAAAAGCTTTTACCAAAAATGCATATATTCGCTAACATGAGGTGAGGTTATGCTGCTGCTCACTTATAATTCACTGCTTGTTTCCAGGGGAGTTGGACAGCAGAGAGTGGAAGATGAAGAACATTATTCTGGTTCACCTGTATGTGAGGAACATGGAAGACTTTGTTGCACTCAATGCAGTCTATAAGAAACACTTTGACACAAACCCTCCAGCCAGGTAAAGGTGCAAACACATACAGAGGTTTTTTCTTCTCTCTCAGAAAACATGCTAACCGGTCATACATTTAAAACTTGCATTTATTTCTTTTTATTCTCCATTTCAGTAGGTATTATTACAGTACTCACTACAGATATCCTCTTGTTTTCACGTAGAGTGTGTGTCCAGGCACCTCTACCTGCCGGTCAGCTGCTGCAGATGGACTGTCTGCTCCATGACTGGACTGAGCCCCCGGAGGAGGGCTGCTTCCGCCAGAGAGAAGCCCTGCATGTCCAGAGCTTGTCCCACTGGGCCCCAGCCAACATCGGCCCCTACAGCCAGGCCCTCAGGGTAAGTCTCCAACACTCCCAGCAGGGAAACAGGGGATGACTGGTGGGCAGACGTACTGACAGGTTAAATTTGGAGTCAGCCACAAAGGAGAGTGTATGCTTAAGTAAGGCTTATATTTCATGGTGGGCTGCAGTCAAAAGAACAGAATTTATTAAATATAATCATGGGAAACTTAGAAATAATTGGCATTTATATGTGATGAAAAATCATTTGGTTTTGTATTTTTAAATAGAAATTCTATATTTTCTGTTAACAGGCTAATCAATAATTCACCTGCTCATTTTGTCTTGTCAAAAAAATATCCCAAGTGGGGCGCTCTGTTATTATTTTCTGTTTTTTCATGATTTTCTATTCATATTTCATGCTGTTATTCTCATAAACTGGTTACTGATTGAAAACAATATTGCGAGCAGTATAATCATTTTTTTTTGGTGGCACTCAGCCAAAAACAAGAAACATTATTGTGTCACTAGAGGAAGGTGTGTAATGGATTAATGAAGGATAATCAAGGATTAGTTTGCTGAATGATGATCCTTTGCTGGTGATTCTCTGACAGGGCAGTTAAAATGTCTCAGATTACTACTTGGACGTGCGTCTCTTCTGTCTCTGTTTATTTGTAGATGCACACGTGCAGATGCATATGATTGTTGTTTTGTGTAATAGTTTGTCCTCGCCACTACTTTTATGTACACATGAAAATATGTATCCCTTTCATAGTGGGCGGCATGCATCCACTATTGCACTTGTTTGTAAAGCTACAAGTCCAACTTCTTTCATATTGTTTCAAACCCAGAAAGAATGCAGAATTCAAAAGCAGAGCAGAGGAAGTGTGGGCCGTGGTTGCACGGTTGGCTTGGTGTTGTGTTTACCCAGTGTGTATTATATAGGATTACACTTGTCAAGGTACTGTCAACAAGGATAGTGTCCATCTCCTCCACACTGTCCTTGATCCTGCAGCCAAATCCGTCTATGAGTGAGAACATGTGTGGATTAGCCATTCGTTCAGAGCTTGACGGCATATCTCACCAGTGTGTCACTGAAGTTCAGTTTGGATTGCTGAGATGTAACCTACAGAGTCAGGTTTGCTTTTAACATGCCAGCAGTGTTTGATTTCCTCAATGGAGTCTCATTGAGACATGAAATTGAAGTCAGCTGTGTGCATGTGCGATTGCCTCTGGAAAGCAATCTAATCCCTCATTCCTCTAATGATCATTCATATCCAAAGCAATTTGAGAAAACAATGAGAGGAGTTTGCCTGCTCAGAGCTGTGCGCGGCTCTTCATACGACCCCTGCGTGGTCGCTCAATGTGTCTGCTCCTCCTCCACGCTACAATGACTTAATTTGATCAAAAATGTATTAACAACTCTTCAGCACGGCGACAGAGTTTTACATATTGATACAATTAGCCCCTCGCTGTGAGCAAGCATGCAGTCCCACCCCTCCTCTCACCAGTCACACGTTGACTCTTAATGGCAATTTTCCTTGGTGACTGTTGCTGTGTGACACCATGGCGACAGGGCTCTGGCAACAACAGAGACAGAAAAGCTGTTGTCTGAGGCCAAGTAACCTAAAGCCCTTGCCATTTACTGTCTATGGAACTGAATTAGTAAGTAACAGAAGGATCCAGCTATACGAGAGAGTTGAAAGCACGGCTGAACTTGAAATGTCTAAAGCAGGAATTTGTGAACTTGATTATTTCCAGAGAATGTAGTCAGATCTGTGCAGCAGAAAGGTTTTAGTGATGATGATGGCTTTAAAGAGGCAGTGAGTTGATCCTTTAATGGATGAATAAAATTAAAATTTAGCAGCCTTTGTTGAGCAATTCTGGGTAAGTGTTTACTTTATTGTTCCTTCCTCTGACAGAACACAGTAATGCTAACCATCTGGATGTAGTGCAGTCAAACAGGGCTAAAAAGCTGATCAATGTCCAGCTATATTGGGACCTGTTTATCCTTTTGACAAGTGTCCATTGGTTTTTTGAAGGACAGCACATGGCTACTGACAGATCATGGCAGTCTGGCCCTGCAGGACTTAAGTACAGAAGGACTCCACATCAAGGGCTGGTAGTGGTGGAGGTATAGAGGAACAGCGTAACAGATTGGCATGTGATGGATGCTGGACCTTCAAACTCCATCCATGTATTCATCTGTCTGCTTGGCTTGTCATGTCTCTCAGCTTCAGCTCTCGGAAATGGCAAGCTGACTGAATGTCGACTTGGCCTGGCGAGCTGACAGATTCAGATCTGACTTGATTTAAAGAATTAGTTAACCTTTATAATGTCAAAGCTGGGGGCCTCTTGGTGTATTGTATATTGATATATAATATGGCGTCAGTTTAGGCGAAAGCCGTAAGCTATAAAGACGAAAACAGGAATTTTAATTTATGTTTTGTTTCCACTCTGGTTCATTTTGTTCTTTACCTGATTGACGTGCGTTTAGAGGTTGCAATAACAGTAATATGTCTTATAGTACAATCATATCAAATCATCTGTCTGCGTGGTACTATCAAAGTTCTTGTCACTAATTGTTTTGTTTTGCTGTCTTATTTATCAGATCTAATGCAAATGTAGCTGTCATTTGTTTGTAAACAATTTGCATAATCTAATTAAGATAAGAGAAATGTCACTTTTATTACAGCAATCATTTTATTAAAAACAAAGGATGTGCTCAGACATCCATTTTCGTCGCAAAACATTAAAACAAATGCTCTCATTACAACGAAAGCCAAGTAATGGCATGCTTTTAAAAGAAATAAAAGTTATTGCTGCAGTTTCTGTCGGTTGTTTCTTAGAAGGAGCTTTTAAACAATTCTGTTGCATTAACATAATAGCAGGACAAAAAAAAACCTACATCTGTGTATGTGTGTGTGAGTTTTTTGTAGCCAAAAATGTTCCACGTTTTTACATGAAAATGTACTAACAAAAGATTGCACTTATTAGTTCCAAGATGGATTAAATTAGCTAAAGTCAAAGTTAGCAACAGGGCTCTGAAACTGCTGGATGTTTCTTCCACGTGTATTTAAATTAATGCTGCCTGTTCGGTCACATTCCCTTTGGAGCCAGATTTACAGAGGCAAACACAATAGCCAAACCAGGTCTGAATAGAAAGACTATCAGTTGAATGGTTGTTAAACATCTCCTCTTTCCTGTTAAGGTAAGTGGCTCACCCCTGGGATATTTGCCGGGAAATTATACTCACTGATCAGATTCTGCGGGGCGTGTTTGGGGAGCTGACTGCGCTAGCCTCAGGTTGCTGGTGAGCGCTAACCCCCTTGCCTCGTTCCCCTAATTGTGAGTGACAGTCAATATTGCGGAAGATTGTCTTGCACAAGCCCACGATAGGATTTGCATTGGATTTTGGAAATTGTCAAAGTGGACTGTGAGGCATCAGGAGGGAAGTGGAGCTGACGCTGCCAATTAGCATCAAAGGGAGGGGTGTGTTGAGGCAGGCGGTAGAATTTGAATAATCTTCTTACAAGAGTCTAAATGTCTAAAAACAATGGTCTGAACTTTGTCTGGCCCTTTTGATGAAGAGTTAGGAGGTCAGGCGCCGTCATGGTGAGTTTGGACCACCCATGATGTTGGACTGAAGAGAGAATGGCTCAAAGAAAAGCATAGGTAGAAGTTTCACGTTGGCTTGTGTCAAGTAGTAAACAGGGTGCAGTAGCAAATGTTGTTTTAGGTCAGTTTTAACATAATTGAAAAAAGAATTACAGGAAACATAAGGTTAGCGAGATGGGAATGAAATGTGATAAAGATTTCCAAACTCTGAATTAAACATAGACTTTCTGGTGTGACTTGTGGCTCACAAGAGCATCCCAAAGAAAACCCGTTTTATCCTGTCAGTCTCCATCAGTGTTTTAAACCAAACATACTATATATTACAGCATTGTCCAATAGAAAAGCAAGCAAAAAAAAAAAAAAAAGTTTTATGGTTTGTTCTCACTCTGAATATTTCACCACAGTAAAAGAGCCAACATGCAAAATTCAGCAACCCCACCACATCAAATCTCCCCCTCCCCGACTTCCCCCAAACTTCCTCAGCCTACATCTAGAGACTACAGCTACCTCAATTACCACAGAAGAGTAATTAGCCAAAAAACTGTGTGTGTGCATGCATCTGCGTTCGGGGAGGTATTCATGCAGCACGAACAGATTAATTAGGACATTTAACTTCATTTCTAATACAACAAAATTAATCCCATAAAATATGAGGGATCTCGGAGGAGGTGCCTGTCAGCATCTGACGCCTCTCCCCTGTTTGCCATAATCTATTAAAACCTTGCTTTTATCTCACCTCTCTCCTGTCATACTTTATGGATTTTTTCATAAACATGGCCCATACTTCATAAATGTCTCAATTTTCTAGTCTATTAACATTACTTCAAAAGCGCTTGATAAAAGAGGAGGGCATGCGTGAAATAATGCACCAATAATACGAAACGCTGGAGGCTAGAACAGTAGGGGCGGCTCTCCGGCGTGCACACTCAGACAATGCAAGGGATGTTATCAACTTTAATAAAAGAACAAATGATCACTTCCAACTAAGGAGGAGGGGAGATGAGGCAGGGAGGAAGGGGTGGGGCCAGGAGGGGAACAGTTGTCGAGTAATTGAGTCGATGAAAAATGAGGTCTTGAAGGCTCAGCGATTTGAGCAGTCATGAGATTGAAGGCTACTCAAAGCGGCGGTGTTCTTTAGCACGTGTAGTTACTTGCTCCTAGTTGCAGCGGAGGATGTTAACACAGATTTGTTTTGCTTTTTTTTTTTTTTTCCTTTTCATTTCACGTAAGACGCAAGCAGAAAAGCCTGGTTATTTTTCTTTCCTGAATGCCTGAATTGTGTGCAATGAGTTGAACCTTTTGTCTGGAGAGAGCCAGAAAGGTTTTGACTGACAGTCAAGCTTCACCTCAGAGCTTTTCCCCAGCGAGCATTGATTCAGTTCCTGTCTCTGTGCATCACCTGAGTCTGTCTCTGTAGGCTTTACTCATCCTACCCAAACA